ATGATCTCTGTATGTGTATTATTTGGCAAAATTGTTGTCTAAATGGTTTTGTTCATATTTTGTTGTAATTGCCAATGGTTTCGTATTTTAGGATGTTGCTGTAAAAATTCTTATGGAGCAAGATTTCCATGCAGAACGGTTCAATGAATTTTTACGGGAGGTAAGGAATATACTGGATTTGTCTGCCTTTCTTCGTTCCCCACAAAAATATAGCTAAGTAAACACACATGCATGCATACGTGCTATGTATGTATATTTTTCTTCATGTTGTAACTAACCTGGAATACATAATCTGGTATTCTTTACATTCATTTGTATGCGCATGTTTGTTTTGTCCCCTCTCACAGTATTCTGTTGTCACTTCAATTTTTTTTCCTCCTCTATCGGGGTTAGGTTCAAATTATGAAACGGTTGCGCCACCCAAACATTGTGCTTTTTATGGGTGCTGTGACAAAACCGCCAAACTTGTCTATAGTCACGGAATATCTATCAAGGTATCAAATTGCCTTTTATTAGCTTCAAACGCATTTGGTAGCACTGTATTTAAGATTATTCAGTTGTGCTCTAATATATTCTAGAACCTAAAATTGTATTTTCTGATTGTTACCTGTTACCGCTTTGAATTTCAGGGGTAGTTTATATAGACTTTTGCATAAGCCAGGCGCAAGAGAAATGTTGGATGAGAGGCGTCGGTTGTGTATGGCATATGATGTGGTTTGTACTGTGTCTCTGTATGTGTTACTAAATTTTGGATCATGTTTCTGTTTTAAGGGCATGACAAATTTTTTCAGGCAAAGGGGATGAACTATCTTCATAAACGTAATCCTCCTATTGTTCATCGGGATCTGAAGTCTCCCAATCTTTTGGTTGACAAGAAATACACAGTCAAGGTAAGCTCAGACATTGATTGCGTAAAGTTGTCAAATCAGCATGATTGTTGATCTGAAATATTTCGTCTTTTAGAGCTTTCAACATTTTGAGTCACAGTAAGCAAAACTTTGGTTTGCTAGAGGCTATTTGTATATCCATATCTTCTACTCACTGTTGTCTGATTATTGGAATTTATCTCTCTATTGTAGGTTTTTTTTGGCAGAATAACTGACATGGCTTTTTGAGATTTAAAGTGATGAATATGTTGTTAAACTTAACGCAACTATATCTAGCAGTGCAAGTTATTCATGCTTACATATCTACTAGTTAAATACATGCGGTTTAGCATTTCACGTTTTGCTAGTTAGATATTATTATGCAGTTTCCTTGTTATACTTAGCTACATTCTTGGGGTTGATGCTGAAACTATGCCGTCTTGCTCCTCTAAAAAATTTTAAATTGAGATCATATCAGAAAGGCCAATGGCTACCGGGTGATAAATTCTGAAGTATGTTCCTTAATTGGAGTAAATGAGAATTTTTAGACCTATATTTCTTTTGAAATTAACATTTTACAACTTTCTATAAACAATTGCTTGGAGTGGTTCCCCCTTGAAGGGGCACAGGCTTGCAGAGTGCAATGAGGATCCTGATATTTATTGGGTACTAAAAGCTGTCATAGTTTTTTATACTGCTCTGCAACAAAATTTGGTCTCAAAAAATGAAATTGTTGAAAACAATGACCTCTGGCAAATTGTTGCTGATGGGATCATTGCCTGGACACTCATTACCCTTGAAGTTGATGCTGTAATTATCTTAGTAATTTGGATATCAGGCCTTCAGAATGTTGATTGATATACTATGTAAATGTTGCATCTTTGCTATGTTTGTATATGCTGTTACCTTGTTATTTACTTGCTGCTTAGATGATTTTTCTCTGTAGGCTATTTTCTTTCGTTGTTGACTTCTATAGCATGTTTGTTTATCTAGTTCACCATTTTCACATAAATTCTGTTTGAAAATCTCGATGCTCTCCATTTGTTCAATTGAGAGGATTTACCTTATAATTGTTCTCCAGGTATGTGATTTTGGTCTTTCCCGTTTAAAGGCCAATACATTTCTCTCGTCAAAGTCAGCTGCTGGAACTGTGAGTAGTTCAATCTATCACATTCATTGATCTAGTTCACTTTATCAGACCATCGTGTTATTGGCCTTTGTATGGGATTATGAAATTTGCTTGGTTGCCTTTTCTTGTAGCCTGAGTGGATGGCACCAGAAGTACTTCGCGATGAACCATCAAATGAAAAATCTGATGTATACAGCTTTGGTGTTATTTTGTGGGAGCTTGCAACTATACAACAACCCTGGTGTAATTTAAATCCGGCACAGGTTTGGTTTTCATTTCTTTCAGTGGTTTCATCTTGCTCAGAGCAATCCGAAATCATCCTTTTGGTGACACGCGATAATTGCTATGAAATCATGATGCATCAGTTATGCACGTATTCATTAGCTAGGGATTGATGATCTGTGGTCCACTTTTGGTCCTTAATGTGTTTATTTCCTCAAACTTAGAGCATAGGTTGCATGGTGCATTTTGGTGTTACAGCCATATGGAATAGGTCCATAGAGGTTAGACTACACTCTTAACCGACAAAACGTTTTTCTTAGTTTTTATGCTCGACATCAGCTCTAGCAATGGAAGAGGAGCAAATGGAATTCTAGATCCGTGTTAAGTTTCAAGCTGATTTGCGAATAGAGGTTAAGCTGTTAGCTTTCTTTGTTTCCTTCTGTAAAATAGCTGGTGAGATACTGTATAGTTAAGGGTTCTGGTTCAGTTTCCACACTGAATCTTTGGTGTTTCTGAGTAGGAAAAATGACTAGAGTATTGGCTAGCTGGTGTGAATTAATTCTGAGTTTGTATAACATAATCTTCCTTCGCCTTCAAAGTCACCTCTTTTACGGTCAGGTGATTTACTCCATGGTCACCGGCGGCTTAGCCTCTTAGAACAGTTGTATTTCTTCATTTACCAAGTTTTTCTTGTATCTTTTTTGAGCTAAGCCATGAACTGTAGGTGTGATTGTTTTCCAGGTGGTTGCAGCTGTGGGTTTCAAGGGAAAAAGGCTTGAAATACCGCGTGATTTGAATCCTCATGTAGCTGCAATTATTGAAGCCTGTTGGGCCAAGTTAGTTGTGTCATTTCATATTTTGTGGTTGAAGCCTCATCTTGACATATATATTCATCCTTCACTAATATGGCTTTGGTGATTTGCAGTGAGCCATGGAAACGCCCTTCCTTTTCCAGTATTATGGAATCCCTGAATCCTTTGACTAAACCCTCCCCCATTCCTCAGTCTGGTCATGGAGACGTGCCCTTGCTCACATGAATTTTCACGGTGTCCAAATGTGCACATATCTGGCAATTTTTTCCCTTTTTTGGTCATGTCTGGAGGATTGCTTGTAGACTATATCAGGTATGTTTATGTGGAAGGATTTTAGTTGGAGCTTATTGGCATCTAAACTTTGTTGTTTATTTATTACCATTTGCTTCCGCTTTTTTAATCTAATCAACGCACTTGTGTATCTATTCTTTGTTGTGAAACAAAATTTACCACAAAATATTATCCTTCCACTTGAGGATGGCATTCCTATAATAATGATAATAAATAGTTGTCTGTGGTTTTAGAGGCCCGGCTACTTATCTTTCCTTTGTACCTGCAAAACTAACAATAGAAGGCGAGAAACCAAAATATGAGATTGGGAGTCTATCTTTTTAATAACTTTTTTCTTAATTTTACATACATCACATTTCAAAAAATTATTTCAAATAATCTGCTGTTCAAAAAAATGTGTCTATACATGCATAGGCAAAATAGTTCTCATTTTTTGGGGGATTCCTTGTGCTAATTGTGTAGTATACATTTTTTGCAGGCTTGTTCATGTACATATCGATTCCGATTGCCTGTTCAACACATTTTGAGTTTTACCCAAATCAGTAAATGCCGTTGCTTTAAAAGGAGACGAGTATCTGCACTTATATTTTATTCTCATTGAAATAGTTGTTTACCTGAGCATTTATATCAGTGTTAGTGTGGAAATTCTGTTCATCCTTTTTTTTTTTTTTTTTTGTAATCAAGTTCTCTGTAATTGAAAATCTGGTTTATAGTTGCAAAAAGCACTCGAAATTTGAGTGCGACATGTAATATACATTGTATTAGTTGCTCATAAGGTAGTCAACTGATTGGGGTAACATCACGGCTGGAAGGCATAAAAGGCATGGGGTTCTTTTGGCATACAACCTGCTGGTGGATCTTTAGTTTGCGATTAGGCTGGAGTCTATCATCAGGCATGTATTTCTGCTGATAACGATTGATGTCTCCTATGACAGCTTAGCAACACGTGCTAACAGAAGCAACAATTCTTTTCTTTCCTTTTTTTTTTTTTTTTTTGGCAAAAATGTGGAAGTAACATTTATATAGCCAAATGCAATTCATGAGACCAAACAAGAAAAGATGCTGTAATAAGTAGCAGTTTCTAACATCCGCAATGAACTTTTCCCACCGAGTTTAATGAACGTAATGTCATTGTCCAATCGAAAGGTACCAAAGTGTTTTTTAAGGCTTGATGACCCTCCAGTGGGATCTGGGGTTCGCTTGCTCTTCCAAACGGTGAGCTCTTCCCGCGCGAATCTACCGGTGAACAGGAAATTCTGCACCTGGCTGAACAAAGGTCTATGTTAGATAGAAGATACATAATTTTAGAAGCTTCGGAGATTGTTAATATATTGTCTCAAAATGTTCCTCGACTGATTCTAATTTTAGCAACAATTTAGTAATTTAATATATACAAATTTCAGATCTCAATTTTATCAAACGCACTCTAATAATAACTATATTAAAATGAAATCCAAATCCGAAAAAAGAAATTCAAGAAATGCGTAACATGGTAAATATATGTAACTGTTTATTTATACTCTCGTTCGCCCTATTGCGTGCTGCGACAATTTGGGCTCAGGTTCGATGGAAGCCCAGGCTACCTGGGCCGTCTATCCCTCCAATTGTCCATGCTCGGTCCCCGGTTCCCTCGTCTGCACTCTCCTCGAGTCGACCAATAACAAGCAAAATCAATAATGAGTATTTAGATTTTCTCCTTCTCCTTCTCCTCTAATTTTATTTATGTATTTATTGATTTTGTTTTAAGTAATGAAAAATCTGACATAACACAAAGAAATCTTTTTGGTGAACTAGCTTTTTTCAGGACGAAATTATCTCGTTTTGTCTCCCGCTTATGAAGCGCTGCTGCAAAAATGGATCCTTCTGAGGGATTATTGAAGGGCACGAATGGCGGGGTCGATCAGCCGCCAAAAGAGAGTGGCAACCAGGTGGTTGGTAGAAAAGCAGCCTGGAACCGCAAGGGTTTGGGAGAAAAGAAAGCAGCCGTTGATGAAGAGATTTCGAGGATGAACAAACTTCCGCCAAACAGCACTTACGCCACTCATCGCTTGCGTGTCTTGAATAAAATCCTTCACCTGTTATCTATGCAGGTGAACTCAAGACTCCCTCACCTTCTAAGCCCCTTATGATTTTCTTTTCCTTTCTTTTTTTTTTTCCCCTAATATTTGCACTTTTCAATTGTTGGTTATCACGACTGCTGGTAACCTTGTTTGTTCCATACTAACTATGTGTTGAATAGTGTTTTGGTTTGGAAAAGGAGGACCCCCGTTTAATATTTGTCCAGCAAATACGGGTGTTACCGCCTATTTTAGGATGTCAATTTTATTTTATTCAAGCTGATGGCAATTTTAACCTTCGATTCTTATCTTTTCTGATAAACCACTAATTTTGACCTGTGGGCCGTCTGATTTTGCTTTTAGTCCCCACATCATGTGCACGATTTCCATTTGCGCAAAATACAATGACCCTGTTCTGGGTATCTTTCTCTTTGCAGAGAACCACATCGCAGGAGGAGGAATTGGGATTGCTGTTTGCTGGTCTCTCTCTTTGAAGAGGCTCTCTAAAGTTTTTCAATGTTGACGCACTGGTCAGTAAAAGTTTCCCTTTATATTGATATAGAACTTGGTTTTGCTGTGTATTTTCTGGTGTTGTATGCACAAAGTAGCTGCCTTCACGTGCGAGACTGAGGCTAGTACTGCATCTGGAGCCAGTTTTGTTGTAATCTTGTTGGTGGTTGGTTCTTTGTTGTTTATCTTTTGCCCTTCCTGATTTGTGGCAACGGTTCTGAATTCCTATTAAAAACATTGAAGAATGAGATGGTATATTTTTATTCACATTTGGTTCACTATAAATTGCAGAACACGGAAATTGCAAGATGCCAAGGGGCAGCTGAACCTTGCATGACATATGTGAAAAAATGGAGTCGCAGTTTGAGTTGCTGAGAAGGACGATACCAGATGCATGTAGATATCTTGTTCTTTCTCATTGCCAGGCTTGTGAAGTCACTGTATTTACACTGGCTGTATCTCTGTAACTAGATACGGTGTCATATTTGAGTTGCTGAATTGAACGTTGTCGTTTTAGAAGAGTTTATTGGATGCAGCTAAGTATCTTGTTCGGTTCTCATTTTGGAAGGCTTATGGATTCACCGTAGGTAGACTGGCTATTGCCGACGTATGGATTCTGGGAATGGGAACTTAAAACTAGAATGAGGTTCTGATGTTAATTCCTAGATGTCTTTTACTTCGCAATAATTCTACTTCATTCAGAAGGTAATTAATATGTCTTCCACGCACAGGCGGACACAGCCAAAGAAGAAGAACAAAAACGGTTGCCCGAATCAACTCCAATGAAGCAAAGCTGCTCCACATACAAAAAGGATTTGCTTTTCTTTCCCTCTCGCAGCTGCACTTTCAGGCATCGTATGCCCCCAGCAAAGCCACATTCCAAAAACAAAAAATTCAAGAAAATAGACAAATGAAGAGGGATGTTAGGATTTTAATAAACACTTTACACAGTTCTTCTCCGAGACGGAAGTGTAACTGCAGAATGAATGGGCATCTTGGTGTATTTGCCACAGAACTCAGGGCAAAAAGCAAATTTGTACATGGCCGCCTCGAAGTAAAACTGAGCGAGTGTATAATCCACGGACAAACACTAACGGAAGAAATAGCATCCGCATTCAACTGTCAGCGTGATCGAGCACATCCTCAACACAAGATAAAACAACATTGAACCAAATTAGGAGAACAAATTGCTTCTCGTGAAGATATCTTACCTCCCAGTGCTTGCTTGACAAAGCAGCAGAAGACATTCCAACAAACCCTCAAAAAGTGGCTGCTACACTGCGACCTGTGTCGTACTGCTATGAACCTGCAAAATCACAAACTTGCAAGTATCTATTAGCAGGAAAGGATGGTTGAGCATATCATCATACTATCTAGACGTGCACAGTCAATCGAATGCGGAAATGAATTCTACAAAATCAGCTGTTAAAAGTTAAAAAAAAAAAAAAAAATTTTTGATGGAGCAGTTAAGAAAAAAAAAAATTTCTCCATGATAGTCAATCAAACAAATATGTAATAAATTGTCCAATATTGAATTTCCGAGAATCAACTATAAGTCGGCCCAAGAGGCCGTTAAAGAAACCTATGGATCTAGTTTCTTAGAAGTTAGAACTTTCATCTTTATGCTGGCCGACTTGATCGTCAAGCTTTGAGAAAGGAGATTCATCATCTGGCCACTTCTCAGCACCTGAACTTCCGGCTGCTGGTAGAGAACCTAAATTCCAGATATCTGGCAATCCACTGCTAACCATTAGCTCTGGAATCTCATAGTTCACAGCATTACCCCATATCTCATTGCTGGAAGAAGAAACACCAGCACCAGCTTCAAAATCCATGCTCCATGGTTCCTGTTCTTTGAGCATACTTTCGATGTCCGGTGATGAGTATTCAGGAAAGTTCTTCTCCTTTGCCAAGTCATCAGGAGAAGTAACAAAATACTCAGGAATCACCTCTGGTGGAACTACAGTTTTCCCCTTGAGCAGTGTATCTTCGGTTCCCTGACTTGAAAATCCCCCTCCACTTGGTTCTGAGATGGTCAGAAATTCAGACGTCAGAGCCATTTCATCTGCTGCAATATTACCTATTTGAAATGGCATACTATCAGACTGCAACCCAATATTTTCTCCCTTACCTTGCAAAGTAAATTCGGGAAGTTGTTCTACTGCACCTGGATCGAATTCAGGGGCAGCAGATGGTGTGGCCAGATCACGAAAATTTGTTCTATACTTCACAATCTGCCCTTCCAGAAATGATTCAGCTTTACCTGGTTCATGTGGCTGATGTTTCAGAAACTTTCTCATTGTTCTTGAAGAAGTAATTTGTTTTTGCTCCTTTATTTGCTTCAGGCGATCCAAGATATCTGGATTTTGAAATAGCTTAGCCATAAATGAGACCATCAACTTCTGCCTACGCTCTGCTGCCTGGAGTTTTTCATTAACTGCCTCCACATGCTGGATTGTTCCAAGCTGCTGTTCCTGCAATTCAAAGACTTCTTGCATCATTAAGCTCCTTTCTTTCCTTAATTTTTCTACCTCCCCTTCCAATACAATTTTGCCTGCTTCACCAGTTGATCCAGAGGAGCCACCAAGTTGATGGGAGTGAGGGGATTTGCGCCTCTGAATGTTCTTCAGCAGATGCCTTTTCCCTCTTAAGAAACTCTCACTTGCAAACTCCCATTTGTCAGCATCAATCTTGCGAAACCCCTATCAAAATTGACAAAAATGGCTTCAAATTAAAAAGGCACATCGATACAAGGATCTCCAAACGGGAATAACATTTCATCTTATAACATATGGAATTGCTACACAAGCCAAAAGCAAACCGTACAATCTCACTGCTTCACAAACTGCTGCACTACATACTAATCATCAGTGCATCTGTAAGATCAGGAGATCATCATATATCATAGAGTAAATCTTATATACACTGACAGTGCATACACTATCACCGTTGAATCATGACACATGTGCAAAAATTAAATTTCAAATTCAAATTTTGCATAGTTATCATTCATCCAACGCTAATAATATATACATTGTTAGTGTAGAAAAGATTAATCCTATATCATAAAATACGTATACTTCCACAAGTCAGGTGGTTTAACTGAGCATGTTACAGAGGAATGTTAAGTTCTGACCTGCGAAATAGATGAACCTGCCAATCATCTTATTTCAAGGAGGTAAGGTGCATCATTACAGCAGTGTCTACAAGTTGATGCGAGGAGCATGAATGGTGCACCAGACATCATACAATTGAGGTCAAAATCTCCTAAATCTCCTTAATTAGGTAAGTTACAATTTCAAGAACTTCGAGGCATATGAAGACCTCAAAAAAGAAAAAAAAAGTACAAGCAAAATTGCACTGCTACGCGTAAAATGAAAGAGAAGTAATTTAAATTAAATTTCATTTCCTATATGAGTTTCTGTACAAACCGCCTCGAATCTCAACAAGATTCTCACACAACTGTTACAAAAATCCTCAACAGTAACATCTACAAACAGAATTTACAACAGCTACAAGGGTTGTCAAAAAAAATTACAAAGCAATAAAATTACATCTAAAATAGTCACCAACGAGAACAAAAAAAAAGAAAAAAAAAAGAGGAATTTTGTACGAGAGAGACAGAGCTCGGGCGTGCATATTAAGAAGCAAAAATACATACATAAGTATTTAGTTGGCGAACAAAGCTGGAAAAATTATTGTGCTTGAAGTTCCTGGGCAATATTCTCCTGGCAAACTCCACGGGGTCCCACACAACGAAGCTCTGTCCACTGGCTCCCCACGAGATTATGGAGTCCAGAGCGGGGTCATCCACAAGATCAAAGGTCTTGGAGAGAAATGGCGGTACTGGAGTCCCCTGCAGACACTCCATAGGCTGAGGCATCCCAGGAAAACTCCGGGCAGCCTCGGTCGTAATAGTTCCTCCGCTTAAGATACCTGGTACGATTTCTTGAAGATGCTGGCGAGATTCCAAGTCTACGAAAGGAGAGACCATCGAGAGCGGGACAACTTCAGAAGACTGGTTCTCAGGGGGGGAAGAGGAAGGTGAATTTGATGAAGGAAAGACTGAATTCTCATCTCGATCGTGTGGGTTCATTATACACTGAGCTACCAAAAAGGAAAAAAAAAAAAAAGGATTTGAGTTTTTGCTGAAGTTGTTTCGGAACGAGCTGGGAAGATTTTGGTGGGGGTTTTCGGTGAAAGAGGACAGAGGAATGTAGGCTGAGTATATATAGGTACTGGCCGACATGGCATGGAGGTGCAAAAAATATCAGTAAAGTGACAGTAACAGCAGTACCTTAAGGCGGTGGAGAGTGCCCTCAGCCGTCCCATCCCCTGTTCCAAGACACGGTGGTAAAATAGAAGTTCTGACTTCAGCCAAAAGGCAGGAAGACGTTAATCTTATAACGTAGCAGGGAAGGCAATGAGTGGCCAGGGAATAACCCACCATAATAAATGCCAACATGATGCTTCTGCTGCTCCTACCGTGCTTTCTTTCTGGGACTGATTTTTTGTGGGTCATTTTATTTTTATTTTTTTGTTGTTGTATATATACATCTGGTTTATATTTATAGCAGGTGCTGGTTATGGACGGCGGATGTGGGGTCGAACTGGAGAAGATATTTTGATGCAGGTGGGAATTTTGATTGGTGGGACTTGGGAGTGCGGTTTTGCTTGTTTTGGACAGCTGGAGATTTTACTCTACTGTTGGGTCGAACTGTCGAAGAAGATGATGACATCGCGTGTGGGGGGCCATTGGCCAATGGGATTGGGAGATTTTGCAGTGACCTGAGTAGGCAACACACGCAGTCACACACTACCATATACTAATTGGATGCTTCTAAAATTTGGTTGAAGCTTGAGAGACTGCATTTCCCAGCGGTTGCGAGCACCTGTTACAACGAAGGACTAGAATCTCTGTTTGACCGGTAGACCTTCAATCGCACGTGCACTTGAACTCCCGGCAGGGTAGTCAGTGCCATGTTTGATGTTTCGCCCGTTACACGCTTGAGAATGACCGGGTTCTCAAACAAGACAAATTTAAAATCAGTTGATGAGCAAATTACTGCGTTCATGGAGCATGAGACACGAACTGTTCATTTGTACGGCAGACATGCATTTCATAAAGAGCATTTCGTGTGGTACACATAATATAATCATAAGCAGAATAATGTCGTGTTTGAATTGTAATTTTATGTAATATAATCATAACCATTTTATGAGCAGATTCTTGTAAAATATTTCAAATTCCTTCATGAGATTTCACGAGCATGTAATACTCTATCTTCTTTTTTTTTTTCACTTCAGCCCTTGACTTTAAGACAAACTAGTTAATTGCAGCCTCACGCTTTGCGTGACGTTGCCCAGTCATTTTTTAAGTTGTTATAATTGGGATGTACGATGGAATTGTTGGGTGATGAAAATAATTTTAACTACGTCATACTAAGCACAAATGCTTCTGTACTATGGAAATGATACGACAATAAGGATTCATTTGTTTCGGGTGAAAATGTTTTCCATAAAAATATTTTTCTAATTTTCCGTGTTTAGTTGCACAAAAATTACTGAAAACATTTCCCTATGTAAAATATTTTCACTCATCTTATTGAAAACAATTTCCCTTCCAAACTTACTGAAGTTATTTTCCGAAATGCATGCATCCCGCCTGTAATATGTTCTAAACTTACTGAAAACATATTGTAATATTTTTTTTTTAGTGTAAACAAAAGGACTCGGACCCAAGATCTCTTCCTTACACTCCCTCCCCCGTACCACCCAACCCAACCCTCTCTCTAGTATATTCAAAATAAAAAAAAAAACCTTATTCTGCTCATCCTATGCTAGTAATTAATTATGTATAATAGAGACATTCTTTTCTAGAGAAACTTTCAGCGGTGAGAGTGCAAGATATATGTCATAATAACCATTGCATGTGATTGATATTTGACACTAAATGGCCAGCAATTTGTTTATTACTTAATGAGATATTTTTTATTCATATATACATTTCTCCAAGATTTTTTAAAGTTAAACAATGAGATAAATTTTCTTATTTTGCATGGGAAGAAGTATGTAGTTATAATGTGTAGAAAGTAAAGATATAAATAAAAGTGAAAATATTTCAAAAGTTAAACAAACACCAGAAAATGAAGTAAGAAAATATTTTCAATAAGCTAACCAAACACCTGAAAATGATGAAAGAGAAATGATTTTCATGGAAAATTACTTCCACGGAAAATATTTTTCCAATAAAAATATTTTACTTCCAACCAAACAAACCCTAATACTAAATTAGTTATACATTTTACTATAGTTTTTTTTTAACAATACATTTTACTATTATTGTTAGTCAACAATTTTGCATATTCTTAGGTATTTATTATGTGTGTGCTTCTATTCTAAATTTCTAAGTAGATATATGATGTGAGAGGTGATAATTTTTCAGGAGAAAAGTAGTGTTCAATTGTACTTGCCAATACGGGCTCATTTTTCTTGTCTAGTTTTATTTCTCTCCTCAAACTTCTTACTTATTGAAACCGTGAAACAACAATCCAAGCTAAATTGGTATTGAGGGCAGTTATCTCAACCCTCATCTGCTCAGTGATGGGTCGAGGAGACCTTCTCAGGGCTTTCGCCACCTCGGCTCATTACCTCACATATGCAGTTGAGGGCAGTCTTTCAATGGTGGCCTCACATCGACTCGACCACCTATCTCTGCTCTTTAGTACCTGACATCTCATTGGAAAACTGACTCCTGCATGATGGATTGATATGGCGTTGACATGACAGAGTGATATGATCATTGTTATGTCTTGTTTATTAAGACTGACACTATCCCAGTCAGTGTTAGGTCCATGGGAAGTGGAATTCATTATTCTTCCCACCATCTTGTCAGCTATAAATACCCTTCCATCAATTGGAAAGGTACACACTCACAAATACACATTTGAGATTCTTAAACTATTTTTAGTTGTAATTGAATACTTGAATTTATTTGATCGTCGGAGTAGACCGAGGGAAATAGCCTCGTACATTGTAAACTTGACAGGTAGATTCCTTTGACTCGGTATTTTCGATCGGAAGTCACCCTTTCAAATTGACTCAGTTCAACTATCCGAAAATCACCTCTTCAAATATCAAGCACAAACATTAGAGGCATTAGCCAAAGTGGAATCAAATAATCACACATCGGTAACAAACAAAAATGTCATACAAGGAAATTTGTCAAGTTGAACAACTAATGAGAAGAGGGTCCATGAGCAATAAATATGAAATTTAATTAACTAAAAACAAATTATTCATCTAATTCTAAAATCTTGACAAATTTATAGCAAAAGGTCTAAATTTTCTATTAAAAAAAATGATGATAATTATGGGACACGAAGAACTGCAAAAGAGCAAAAAACAACTGAATGATTTCTACACACTGAGATGATGGACAAATCTCTAGATTTCAAAACAGAAGGAACCTCGAAAAATTTACACCAATCCAACTAACATTTAGTACAGGCATTCTTGAGTATATTATTATGCATTTCTTCTTATACAGTCTTCTAGTTGCCCATAATTCATTATAACCTTTGTAGTTAGTTTGGGAGTTGTGATTTAACAGAAAAGAAAGGAAAAGTGATAGAAAAGACAAATTGTTATTTTTTTTTGGGGTTGGGAGCCTTTTGAGGGGTAGAAAAGAATAGAAAGCATATGATTTAGGTTGATGGTTTGGCATTGCTCTGGTTATTTTCTGAAATTTTTATAAAAAAAATATTTTTATAATTTGAATGTATATGAGATAAAGAAATAATTAAAAAATATGTTCACGAAAATGAAATTTTTTTTTGAAAAAAATAACAACGCAAATAAGGCCAATTTAAGCTCGTGTTGATGAGCCATAAAAGGCGATCCAGTCCAAGACAAGCCTGTTGTATTGTCAGAGTTAGCAACCCAATCAAAGAAGCCTCTACGGCCTGATCCATGATCCTTCCCCGCGAACGTCTCGTCTTCCTGCTTCCATCCCGCGACGTAACTTTCCCTTCCGACCCCAGGGATGTGTATACACTCCTCATTTTAGAGTTTAGACCAGCTGCACCGCTTCTTAGCTCTTGCTACCCCTGCTCCCCACTCCCTATTAAAAAGGGCCAGAGCCCAGTCCCCAGCCGCGGACCCCTCCCCAAAATTTTAATCCCCGCCCCCAAGTCAATCAATCAAGAAACCTATTTCTCTCCCTCTCTCTCTCTCTCTCTCTCTCCCTCTCCTCGCACCTCAGCCCCCTTTCCTCCTGCACCTACTTGCACCTTTTTCAGGCTCGAACAAGCCAAAGCCAAGGACTCCGAGTGACCGAATCGTCAATTTTCACTTTCTCCTTTCCATCTGCATCCCGAAGATTTATTTGCTTAGGGCTCATAATTATTTTTTTTTAAAAATCTGTAGTAGGAATTTTGTTGTACTCTCAATTTCTTTGGGGGGTGACTTTAGCTTTGTATTTGAACTATGTAAATGACGAGATAGTTAGCTTTATTGCTTTTGTATTTGTCTGTATTTGTTTTTTGAATTGTAATGGATATGGAGAGTTCAGGTAGACCGTTTGATAGATCTCGAGACCTAGGGTTGAAGAAGCGTAGGCTTACCCAGGACCCAATCCCGCTGGATCGCACCTCCAATGGCCGCTCCAACAGCTCCTTCATTCAGCAGCAGCGCCCCGCGCTGCCGTCTGCAAATTCGACCTCCGTTGCTGCTGGTTCCAGATTTCGGGTGAGCGATAGGGGCGGCGCTGATTCCGAGAGCAGTGACTCGGTGCGGGGACCTTATCCACAACAGCACTTGCAGCAGCAACAACAGATTCTGGAGCTTGTGAATCAGTACAAGACGGCCTTATCTGAACTGACTTTCAATTCCAAGCCGATTATTACCAACTTGACTATTATTGCTGGGGAAAATCTCCATGCTGCCAAGGCCATAGCGGCTACTGTCTGCGCCAATATCCTCGAGGTGATCCCAAATTTATAATTAGCATAACATGATTAGTACCATGTATTTACAGTTGCTTGAATTGTATAGGGAATTCGGATAAAGGAATGAAGATTCTATTATTAAACAAATAGTGTAGGTTATTATAGCAGTCTTTGTTTTCCGTGCTTTTGGTGAATTCAAAAGGACAAAAATTGTAACAAGGAGTGGTGCATAATGGAATTGTCGCAGTTGCAAGGGAACTGTTTTGTGGCATTCTGTGTTTTTTAATAGCATTCGAGCCATTCATTGCGTATATACAAAAAGGAATTTTCAATGGTAAATCATCAGCTCAGAACTTGCATCTTATGGATATGGTTGGAATTGATTATTCTGGGGCATATTGTTGAATAATGAGTAAAAACTTATTTCATAGTGACCTTCGGATGTAATAATTATTCAGGACCAATCTCCACAATGGTCGCTATGTAACATCCATGACCTTGATGATCAATACCTACTGTGCTAACCACGTTACTTCTATGTGAGCGTCCAATTGTGCAATTCCACATATCTATGGTTTTCAGTACTGCAACTTTCAAGGTTATCTTTGACGATTTGATTTGTGGATGGTTTTCATTGATCTAACGGAGTTGATCTAAACCGACTCTCTGGTTTCTATTTCATTTTCATTTTTGCTATAGATGTGAAGGTTTGTAATTTCTTTTTTCTTCTTCTTGCGGTATTCAAAGTTTAGGCAGTTGA